TGCAGGTCTTGTGTGATTCTGCATCCCAGCTCTAGAGGAATGTCAAGTGTTCATGGATGTATATGTGCGTGCGTGTGCGTGCGTGCATGTGTGCGTGTGTGTGCGTGCGTGTGTGTGCGTGTGCGTGTGCGTGTGTGTGTGTGTGTGTGTGTGTGTGTGTGTGTGTGTTCTGATAAGAGATATCGTTGTAAATATAGAATGGCATCTTGCCGTTCTTTGTTTTTAGGGTTTCATTTTTGTTGTTTTGCTTTGTCTGAGACAAGGTTTCATTCTGCAGTCCCGGCTGGCTTGGAACTCACTATAAAGAACAGGCTGGCCTCAGAAGCACAGAGATTCACCTGTCTCTGCCTTCCAGGTGCTGGAATTAAAGGCATGCACCACCATACCTGGCTTTCATTTTATTTTCTTGGAGACAGGGGCTTGCTATGTAACTCAAGCTGTCCTGTAACTATCAACGATCCTTCTGCCCCAGCCTTGGATCACAGGCTGGAATTATAGGCGTGGACCACCATTCCTGGTTCTCTTGTTGCTGAGCTGTATGGTTCTCCATGGTGACTGATGCGAGTTCCTTATCAGATAGATGGCCTGAAAAACTTCCCCATTTGGAAGATTTTTTTTTTTCTCTTTTCATTTCCCTGGATTCATCATATAAAAGTTGCTAGCTTGGACGATGTTCAATTTATGTATTTTTCTTCTGTTGCCTGTTTTGTCTGTGTCTTTGTTCTTTTTCGGGGGGCTGAGTGTTTCATGAGTGGGGCTGCCATGATCATGGGCTTCTACACATATAAGGAGTGGGGAGGGAGCCCTGATCCTGGGCACAGATAGATGGGGCAATTAGGGAAAGCTTGCTGGTGGGAGTGGCTGTTTTTATGGGTCTGGGTAGGGGGCCTTTTCCCTCTGTGAGGGCTTCTTGGCATGGGTCTAGGACCCCAAAGCCCATTCGTGTTGTGGGGTGTCTGTCCCACTCCCTGCCATCCTGATCTCCAAGCGTTTCCTTTCTGAGGCCACCCTGACCAGTGAGCAGAGAGGCTACTGGTCAGGAATCACACAGGATAACTAATTTTGACTTACAGAAGCTGTCTTAAATTGGATAGAAATGGGTGAAAATAGGATTAAGGAGAAAGCCAAGCCAAGAACAGATGAAGGAAAACTCCCTAAGAGCCTTCTGCCTGGCTGGAGGGGCACTCAGAGGTGGCCGGGTGGGAAGAGCACTGGATATTGCTGGGTGATTGCATCACATCCCTGGGCAGCTGCCCACGCCACCCCAGCCAGACTGTGGCCTCCCGTCTCGGGGTGGGAAGATAGGGTGTGCATTGCTCTCTCTGTGGCTGGTTTATCTGTGCAGAGCACACTCCATCCTCAGGATTTGTTTGGAAACAATTAAAATCCTGTGCAAAACAAGCAGAGGCCGGTGGCCAGCAGTGACCCATGAAGGGCCTTTACCCACAGAAATCTCAATACAAAGGATCAAGCTGGCCAGAAACTGGAGAGCAAGGAACAGCTCAGAAGGATGGAGGAGGTCCTGGAGCAAAGACAGCAGCAGGTATGGGAAAGCAGCTAAGAGGCTTTTTCTAACCTCCTTGCTCCTGCTGTGTATGGGGAAGAACTCCCAGGAGCTCTTCCTCATCCACACGTCAAGAAATCCAGGCTCAGTTAGTAAAGCGCCTGCAGGGTACAAGGACTGAATTGATCCCCAGACTCAATATAAAAGAGTTCAGACTGATAATACACACTTCTAATCCTAGCTCTGGGGAGATAAAGACAAGAGGATCCTAAGGCTTGCTGGCCAGCCAGCCTACCTTTCTAGGCAACTTTCAGAACAGTGAGAGACCCTGTCCTTTTTCTTTTTTTCTTTCTTTTCTTTTTTTTTTTTTGGTGGTTTTTCAAGACAGGGTTTTTCTGTATTGCTTTGGAGGCTGTCCTGGAACTCACAGAGATCCTGTAGACCAGGCTGGCCTCAAAATCACAGAGATCCACCTGCCTCTGCCTCCCGAGTGCTGGGATTAAAGGCGTGCACCACCAACGCCCGGTAAGAGACCCTGTCTTAAAGTGGAAGGTGTCTGATGATAAACCACACCAGGACACCAGGAGTTGTCCTCTGGTCTGCCAACACACACATACCCACACATACCCAACACACAGCACACCACCACCACCCAAAGAGAGAGAGTGGGCATGGCAAACCCATCTGACTCTCAAGGGGTGGGAGCCAGAGGTCTGTAGGCACTGCAGACTGAGCCTCGGCAGGGTCACAACTGGGTAACGTTTCAGTGACTTGCAGATGCACTTTATCCCAAGATTACGTTCAGGCTATTTGTGAGCCCCTGTCCTGTGAGGCTGCTGAGATGCATGTAGCCATTTTCCTGGCATTTGAAGGAAACAAATTTAGCTGAGATGTAGCAGAGGACAAGTGGTGACTCTCAGAAGGCAGAGGCGACTCACAGCAAGGCATCCTCGGGTCCCTTTTAGTCCAGGTACACGAGGACCACCAGGCCACAGTGGGCTGACTCACACCTCTGCCAATAACCTCTTAGAGCTTCCCCAGAGTCCAAGGTGTGGACACCGACAAGGCACACGGCACCTGGCCTCAGAACATACCTGCTGGCTACCCTCAGCAGTGGTAGCAGGTCTTGGGACAGCTTCAAGAGGCTTCCCCTAACTCCCTTGCTTCAGTTCCCCAGCCTAGGATCTTCCCATTCATGCTTGCTGTTCTTCAGATTCATGGACCCCAAGCAGCCAGGAGCCTGCTCCATTCAGGGGCAAGAATAGGAGTGCCCAGAACCGGCTCCCAGGAAAATGCTCCTGGTGTCTGTACCCTCAGATTACCATACCACTTCTGAGTGTCCTTGAAACCCAGAGTGACAAAGTGCAATAACAAGGATAGCAGGTCGGAACAGATGTGAGCGTGAATGTAAGAATTATTGTGATCTGTACAAAGGTGTGAGTTACATGTGGGAATACACCAAGGGTTCCCCATACCATAGGGACACAGCTCTCGGGGCAAGGCTTTCTGAAAAGCAAGGGTGCAGGAGAACAAGGGAAGGATCCTCCTTGGAGAGACAGCCCCCTCTGGGAGCTCCTTATCTTCCTGTCTGCTTCCATACCCGGTCAAGGACCTGGGAGCTGATGAGAGACTTGCTCCACCAGCTATGGTGAAGAGTTTGTGATGAGCTGGGCTTCCCTCATCCCTATTCCCATCCAGATAGCTACACCATGCCAGTGTAGACAGGACCTGGTGATGGGTCCTCCAGGAATCTGGCTGAGCAGATGTCTACTGTGGCTCCCTGATCCATTATCGCTCTCTGAGGGGCTTTACTCATCTCTTGCTATTTAAAAACAGGTTTCTTCCACCCACCCCCAAGCAAGGTGGCAGGTGGTGGCAGACCAGGACCATGTGGGAGCTGACAGGTTAGTAGTCAGAACTCTACCAAAATCGCAGCCATTATGACAGGAAGAGGCTACACCAGAAAATACTGTCCCCTAGGTAGGAGAGAGATCCCAGTTAGCCTCAGGTTTCAGTCAGGTGCAGGGAGTGACTGGCCTAGGGTCATGTGGTGGCCAGAAGCTGGGCCTGGCTCCTGCCCTTTTGGCTTCACTCATGTGTGATCTGGTGTCCCTCACACCCTAAAAGAAAACCTGGAATGTCTCCCAGATCAGCAGGTGTGCAGGGGGTTCCCAAATTTCCTCCTACAGCCTCTGCCTGTGGCCCCTGGGGATCTCACCCCAGTGTGACCCTGGCCGGGGGTTTCAAGGTATGTAAGCAAACTTCTGCTTCCTGAGCGAATCCCCAGCCAGGGAGGAGCGGGGCTTTCCTGCTAGAATACAGAGTTCAGCAGGCAGTGGCCTGAGTGACCAGCAGTAGGGACAGTGGGTGCTCATGTCTCAAAGATGGACATAGCTCCACCTGCAGCTTGCTGCAGTACTAGGCACAGAGCAGAAGATGACAGGTTAACCCACCAGCACTTGGGACCCCAGGCAACTCTGGAGTCCTCTTACCCTACCCATCCTGGCACAAGTCCAGGAAGTGGACCCTCAGAGATTTGAGATGCATGCTGGCCTCCTCCATTAGAAGGGGGGTATCTATAGTTCCTCCAAGGACCTGACACCGTGTCTATTTTCCTTGTACCATGTCCCAGTCTCTACCTCCCCATGAGAGGTCACTCCTACCCTCGGAGCTTACACCATGCCAGCCACAGGGTATACACTGGAACCTTGATTCACACTGCTGCCTGCTCTGAGCCTGTCAGGCTCCTGCCACTCAGTGTTGACTAAGGGTATCCTTTCTCCTCCTAGGAGCTACTGGGGTGCAAGTCAGGGGGTAACAGTATGCTATTCTCTCCCTGCAGTGCCTGTAAAGTAGGTCTTGAGGACTGGGCCAAGAGCAGACTCTACTTCCTGATTTTCCTGGAAAATTCCCTTGGAATCTACTTGGCCAGAGGCCAAGGCTCCTTAGGGCATCTTCCTCCTTCCTACTTCGGTCAAAAGCACACATGGCTGTCCCACCCAGTGGGGACAGAATTCCTTGGGGTGATTCATCTGCCCTTCTCCAGAAGCCCTGGCCTCCCTCTGTGGGACAGGTAGGGCTGGAGACATATTCAGAGCTGATGAGAGACAACCTAAGGAGACAAGGCTAAGTTCTCCTGGGTCAGGTAGCATCTTGGGAGACAGGGGCTTGTGCTCACTGGTTCCCACCTCCTAAGGGTGGGTCACAGTACAGTTGGGGACACCCTATGAATCCCAACCAAATTCAGAGATCCTTTGTCCTCTCTCAGCCAGGCCCTGAAGGACAAGCAGGAACCACGTGGGGTAGTCTGGACCAGTGGATGCACTTCTTCTTCTTCTTCTTTTTTTTTCAATATATATATATATATATATATATATATATATATATATATATATGTGTGTGTGTGTGTGTGTGTGTGTGTGTGTGTGTGTGTGTGTGTATTCATTTTACTTTGCATGTGTGGCTGTCTGTGTATGCATGCATGTGTGCAGAGAACAAGTTACACCTTAATGTGTCTGTTCCCTGACACTTCCCTTTGCTCTTCTCTCTTCCCAGTTGCCATCTTTGGATTTCTCCTCCCTCAGCCTCTTCTTGGAAGTGGATACAGCAGCCTCTGCTATCCTGAAAAGTTCAAGCACCCCATGAGCACCTCAGGCAGGGAGTGGCCAGGCCAGGCCAGACAGAGATGAAGGTCTCATCATAGCATCATCTCATCCAAGGAGACCCTAGGTCTGAGCCCCAGTCTCCTTTTGCCAAGCTGGGGAGAACCTGGACCATTGGCCAAGCTCCTGTGACACAGTTTCTCTGTCAGTTAAAGGGGCAGAAGTGGCAGGGTGGTGAATGAAAGGGCATTTGCTTCAGTACACAGGTCACAGTAAAGTGCTGCAATGTCTACCAAGAAAGGCTGTGGGGGTCTGGGAGGTCCCTCTAGAGAAATAAGGCTTGGCCTGTTATGCGTATCTGGGAGCTTGTGTGGTCTCTCTCCTGCCTCGACCCTGACAGCCAAGCTCAAGGCATCCTGGTTGGTATTTACTGGGCTGTGCCTCCCCAAGCCTGTCCTTTGCTTAAAGGCATATTTATTTCAGTAGCTTCAGATGCCACCTTCTCTTACCCTTCCCAACATAGTCTACTCTAACCAATGACCCTAAAGGATAACATCTGTGATTTAATCATGGCTAGCAAAAAGGGCTGGGGCCAGCACACATACCTCCACCAGCCCCAAACCTGGTCTTGGCCTCCAGGCCTAAGTCCTCCATGCCAGTGGACACAGGAAGCTGGCTTTCCCAAGCCTCTTGGTCAAGTGATAACCAAGGACTGGGCTGAAATTTGGACTCGCCAGGGGCACTGGAGTGGCACCTGCTGTTTTCACCAATAGGCTCCGACATGGAGAAATTATGGCCCTGCTTTTCCAGGTGGTGCCACCCTGGGCCATGGCTTGCTCCTTTCCCCTCGGTTTCCACCCTCAATTTCCCTGTTTGCATGGAAGCAGCGTTTACAGTCGAGAGAACTCAAGACTGTTTATCTGGGGTCCTGCCCTGGCCTCCAGGTGGTGTAAGTCAGCATGAGTGGGGCAAAGTCGTGGTTCTGGACATGTGTCGTGCTGTCTAAACTCTCTTCCTCCAGCCCTTGCAGGTCCCCAAAGGAGACATGAGGCCATCCCTATGTATAGAGTACCCTGTCACCTAGGCACGCAGCTGAGAGCCACTCATAGGCCTGAATGCCTGGCACCCTGGCACCTGCCATCTCTATGGAGATGGTCACTGCTAGTCAAAAAGTTCCCTAGGAGGAAGCGGTGAGGGCAGAGCCAGGAAGCTGTGTCTGCATTTGTGTGTAAGATGGTGGGCTGGGTCCTGACACAGCTGATCTGTTTTGGACCCCTCTGCAAATGCTATCAGGGTTACTCTGTGCCCCCTGGAAGGATCAAGAAAATTTCCCTCCCACCTTTCCCTCAATGTTTGAACCTATTGCATCTGGAAAATCTGACTTCTGTTTGAATCACCAGAGCCCTTCACATACTCTGTTTCCATATAATCTGTCAGATGCTACCTGACCACTAGGAAAATCCCACCTGTGCAGGGGTTTGTATGGTACATTGCTGTCTTGTGGTGACATGACCTTTAAGGGTTTGAAATCAGAGACCTGATGCTCTCTCAGGGAAGGGATGAGCAGAGGGTCACCAAACCCTAGATTCCACCGCTGTCCTCTCCTGGTCCCCTAGTGCGTGTGATCCTACCTCTGCTGTCCATGGCCTCTGGAGGTGCTGGAGGGGGACTTTCAGTGATGCCGCTGGGAGACCATGTTCCATTGAGAACCCCTCCCCAAGGTTCCAATAAGCCCAGGGAGTATACTGGTTCACAGAGCTGCACTTGACCTGTTGTCTTTGTCTCCACTCCTTGAACAGTCTCATCTTGGATCAGGCTGTTCCCCATCTCCACGGCGGCTCTCTCATTCATCCCAACTGTGATTTTAGTGACTGGGGGAAGGGAGAGGCCCCAGTGCGGCTCCTGTCCTTACTAGGTTGTCAGGCCTTCTTCCTTCATGGAAAGTCAGGTTGACACTACAAAACTGAAAGGGGCCCCAGGCATGCACATATATCCCTCACTGGCCATGCATTCCTCTACGCCATAAGCACAGATCAGTGGCAGCTTGGAGACACACTGCGTGACAGTACACTCAGAAACTGTAATGTCCTGTCATGGATTAAATTGAGGCCCCAGAAATCCAAGGCTTTTGAGTCCAATTTAAATTGAATCCGGTGGCACTAATCTGAAGATAACATCATTATGGAAACTGGAAAGAGACAGACACAAAAGGGTAGTGAAAGATGCTCGGGTGGGGTGGGCTGAGGGATGTGCCCACAGGTCAAGATGGCAGCTGCGCAGGCCAGATGATCCAGAGTCTTCTAAGGCGGGGAAGCCCTTTCCATGCCCTGACCATGCCATCCAGGCTCTAGGGCTAAGCAAAGGTGGACTGTGTTCCTTGGTAGTCACTTGGCTCAGCCCCTGGGAAATGGTACACCACTTCATGGAGGTGGTGGTGCCCAGGCCTAAACTCAAGTCGTCCCATCAGCCAAACTCTCCCTACCAGAAACCAAGCCCCCCTCCTCGTGAGTGTTCCCAGCACCTTCACTCTGTAAATAACTTCACAGGACCATATGGAACAGGTTTTATTCTTTGTCCTGTCTATGAGCAGCTGAGGCTCAGAGAAGCTGTGTCATCTGCACAAAGCCACACAGCAAGAGGGGTGAGTTTGGGGTCTGGGTAGGTACAGATTATTTTATATAATACACACTCAGGGACAAAGAATTGAGACTCCCTAAAACTCTGGTGGTAAAAAGGTGACCATTCATCCCCCTCTGTGTGTGTGTGTGTGTTTTGCAGGTATACATGTTCAAGTGTGTGTGTGTGTGTGTGTGTGTGTGTGTGTGTGTGTGTGTGAAGCTGTGGAGGCCAGAGATCAATGCTCAATATCATTCTCAAATGCTCTTCATCTTGTCTTTTGAGACAGGGTCTCATGATAAACCTGGAGCTCACCAGTTCAGCAGGTCTAGCTGCCAGCAAGCCTCAGGAATCCATCTGTCTCCACCTCCCCAGCACCGGGATTATAGGTATGTATCACCACTCCTGGCTTTAATATGGGATCCGGGGACCCAAACTCAGGTCTGCGTGTCTATGTGGCAAGCACTGTGCCAACTGAACCATCTCTCCAGCCTCTCTGGTTTTTATTTTTGACATGCTTCACCATGAACACAATGCAAATTTATTTCCAAAATCAACATTTCCTCCCAACAGTTGTTTCCTTTTCAGTGTTTCCTTGGGGCTGTGGGCTCTGAAGGTGTTGGTGACAATGACCATGATGGTACCAGGGATGGTGGCATCTATTGTCAAGCCCATGTAGGTTACTATTACATGACTTTCCAGGGATACAAGAAACATCTATTCACCCTAGATAGGGCACCATGAGATCAAAGCATGATTCTATCCAGCTTGCTGAACCAATGAGCTCATTGGGGTTAATTACTTACAAGAGTATTGGTGACCAATAAACAGCCGAATCACAGAAAAAACAGCCCAGAATGCTGACAATTCATGAAAGCTGTGACTACCCCAGTTCATCTCATAGACCCTGTGCAGCTAGAGGCAGGAAGGAGTGGTGGCTGGAATCTTAGGTGATAACCCCGAATTTCACAGGGGAGTATTGATAACTCTATCACTATTGTTGAAGACCCAACCATCACTGTATAGTTTGTTCCACCATGGGACAAGGTCACCTGTAGGCCCCCACAGCAATTTGTTCCATAATGACTTTTCCTACAGACCTTGGTTCCTGATCCCCAGACCCTCAAGGGAACAGATCTGTCCCTGAAGCCCCTCCATGCTTTGGGATCAGTCATAGCAGCATCACCCACACCTTGTCCCTGCAGCTGGCCCAGTGTACAGACACAGTCTTGAACAAGGCTTCTGGGGTTTGCACATGAATAACACCACTGCTGGACCCTGTGGCCCTCCATGAGCCTCCAGTTTTTGCATTTATATAAGGGGACACATGGGCTTCACAGGCTCACTTGGGGAAACACAAGGGTTCAGGGTTGCTCCAGGACAAATGATGTGTCTTCCATATCAGAGGGCCAGCCCACCCTGGCCACATCAGTGTAGGTCTCAACCCTGTGCACATATCCACATGGAGAGCTGGCTCCAGGTCCTAGCTCCACCCTGCCTGATGGGCCCAGGCTGGGCTGCCCCTCATGGCCCCACAGCCGCTCCCTGGCAGCTGCCAGCTTCGCCTCCTGTTTTAAATTGCAGCCTGCTGGGGTTCCTGTGGCCCCTTGCCTGTGGCTCCCCTCCGGCTTGGCAACCAGAGAGGGCCAGGCCCTCTGAGGTGCTCTGGGCTGCTCTATCCAGCAGGCGTGGGCTGGGTGGAAAATGACCTCAGAGGGTGGGGTAGTGGGGCAAGCCTTGGGGAGACCAGGGGCTCCCAGGGCCAGCAGGTTCCCACGCCTCAGCTGCATCCAAACACTGTGCCTAGATCTGTGGTTCTGCACGGAGGAGGAAGAACCTCATTCTTAGACCATTAGAGATGCCTTATGTGGCTCAGCTCCGTCAGGCCCTGCAATTGCAGGCTAGTGTGTAAGGAAACAAAGGACAAGGCTGGGCAGAGACAGGTAGAAGACACTACTCCTACAACCCACCCAGGCCTACATATCATGTCCCCCGCCCCCTTCCCCACAAGCCACAGGGCAACAAGAAGAGCTTGAATGTCATCAGGGGTCAGCAGGACAGTTGTGGCAAAATCTAGGGACTCATGGTAGGCTCACAGGAGATGTAAGAGATATAGGGTGTTAGCTGCTAACCAGCTACTCCTTGGCCAGACGGCCAGGACATAGTATTGAGTGTCCTCTTCACTGTAACAAAATTCCTCACAGAAGCGACCTCAGAGAGGAAGGGCTTCTTTTGGCTCACAGCTCATGGGATACAATCCAGCGTGGCAGGAGCTGGCAGTTCAGCTTGTGCCTCCGCTTGATCTTGGGGATCAGAAAGAAGAACATTTGGGCCAAAAGGAAGGCTGGGCTATAAACCTCAAAGTCTGCCACCTTCATCATGCCTCAGGCCTCACTGTTCCATAACTTCTCCAAACAGCCCCGCCGGCTAGAAGCCAAGTGTTTGAACGTAAGAGCCTGAAGGGAGAGCAAACAGCATTTCACATCTGACCCATAACACCAGGGGGCAGGGCTGGGGCCCCAGTGGGAGCTGGGATGGTAGACTTTTACTGAGTAGGAGACAGGGCCTGAAGTTTGATCGTCTGACATGATGGGGTTCATCTGGCAAGAGAGTGAACAGAGTCCCTGCTTCCTCCACTCAGTCTCCTAGCTGGATGCACCATCTTGGGCAGGGAAAGAAGGGGTGTGGCCACATTGGTTTCCTGCTGGTGGTCTCAATGACAGTTTGCTGGGCTCTGGTGGATCATCTATTCATACACTCATTCATGGGTCATGTGGGAGAAGACTCAGTCCCTATGGTCTCTAGTGGGCTTCTGGATATCAAACAAGCCCAGATGGAGCCCAGGATCCCTAGACTGAGGGAGATGACTCTCTGATTGCTGCTGCAGGTTCTCACTGTTCCTTAGCTCATGGGCACATCACCTTGACCCCTTCTCTGTGGCTGTGTCTTCTCCAGCTTTGTGCCTTATACATCACCCATAAGGACTTGGAGTCTTTCAACCCAGGGTGGCCTTATCTAGACTCCAAACTTCCCCATATCCTGATCCTGTGCCCATTGGCCCCCATACTACCCCCTCCATGGACACATTAGGGGTGGGACCTACCCTCCATTTCCCAGGCTAACTCCTACTCCCATTGTATTTGGCATCATGGGACAGAAGGTGCCATCACAACCTCCGAATCCTTGCAAGGAAGGGATAAGAGCAAGTTTTTGGGTGACATTCAAAGCATCTACCCAAAGAATTATCAAAAAAATTCAAAGGACAGGATCAAGGAGATTCACAACTTCTTTGAGCCTCTTGGGTGAGGAACTGGACACTTTCAGGCTAGTGGCTCTGTCCCCAGAGCTTCTGGCATTCAAGAGAAGGGAGTAGAAGAGTCTACTTGCCCCTCAGACCATCTCCCAGGTCCTTTAAATCTGTCCAACCACCTACCCATCCATCTGTCTATACATTTATCCAGCTCTTTACATTTTATAAATTTCAACATCACATATCAAAATTAACTAGACCCAAAGTCTATACAACTCAATGAATTTCTATACAATTAGAATAGGCCTTTGGAATGAAAGCTGTGTAAATTCACTTTAAATTTTGTACTTTCAGTCTCAAATATATTGTGGGTACTTATCTACCACCAAACCAAACCAAACAAAACAAAACCTCTAGGACTATAAAAATACTTATCTCTATGTCCTCTTAGAGATAATCTGTGTTCATCACTGGCATGCAGTCCTTCATTCTCTTATACTTAGTCTTTCTTGCTCTGTTTCTTCATGTTACAATGTACCTACATGTACATTTGCTTACATATATACACATATTATTGACTGGATTCTAGATTTATTTTTGGCTGACAACTCTATTCATCTACCCACCCATGTGTCCACCCACATATCTACCCAGCCATCTGTACACTTATCCACCCATCCATATACCCATCTCCTCTCCAATTCACCATCTATCATCTGTCAATGAACCTATCCATTCTTCTTTCCACCCATCCATTCATCAAACCAGCCAGCCAGTCACTAATCTATTTGCATATCTGATATGATCTAATCCAGTCCATACATTCATCCACTTATTAATTTATCTGTCTATCCATCCATCCATTTGAACATCTGACCTTGGGAGTGTGGTGAGTGGGAGGGAGTCCAAGGCCCCTTTCTGGTTGTTTTCCCTGCTGGCCACCAGGCAGGAAGCCCAGCCTGCAGCTGGAGCTCCGGGTGGGATCCTGGGCCTGCTGGCTGCGGTTTCTGCAGCTGAAAAGCATTTCCAGTTTACACCAATATAATTACTCACCCTCCTTTAGATGGGAGTGTAGAGGAAGGCAGATGTCACTGGTCCAGGCTGATCCCTACTACAGAGCACAGGAAAGCTGGGTATGGCTATGCCAGGGTGGGAGGTGGAAGTGTCTCCCCTATGTCACTGCATCCATGGGTCAGGACATAGAGAAGGCCTGAGGGCACAGTGCCATCCCAAGCAGACAGGCAGGAGCTGAGAGGGTCAGGCGCCTGGACCTGGGAGGGAGCTGGCCTTGGCAGAGGTGCTGGCCAGTATGGCCAGGCTGCCAGAGCCCTGGGAACCTAGCCAGGGGTGCTGGCTCAGGGTGGGGCTGGCCCCCAGCACTGGATAGTCAAAAGGAGGGGTGGGTTTTCTAGGGAAGGGACATACAGAGTCTTGAAAAGGCCTGGCCCCAGTGGATGGTAGGGGATGGAGCAGTGGTTAACAAGTTGGCCCCATTTAACACTGCGCCTGTAAACTTGAGGTCAGCTGGCTAGACGGTTGAAGGCCACCTTCCATAGAAGTGACCTTCAGAATGTCTGGAGGGATCATTCTGGTGATCCTGGGTTCTAGAGAGAGTTGGGGCACTTGGCTGACCCCAGTGCTTCGTCAGCTCCAGACACACTGTCCTTCAGGCTTCTCGTTTCCTTGTAGGTCCATGCTGGAAGAAAATGGGTCTCAGTCAACTTATTTTACCACCACAGACAGAAGCCAGTGGGATTAGTCAGCTCCTTTCCAGAGCCCATCATGGAGGCACCCTGTCAGCCACCAAATCCTGGACATGAGTGAGCCAGGCCATGGACTCTCCCTGCCCTGCCACCATCCATGTGTGTCTGGGCTGTGAGTGGCCCTAGCATGGGCTGCAGTGGACAACGGAAAGCCTGTGCAGTGCAGCCTGAGTGGGCACTAGGGGGCAGAGGGAAGCCTGAGAGGTCAAGAAGGACCTTTCTAGCTCACCCACCTACTTATCATTAACCTGTTAAGACTAGGAACCCAGGGGCTGGAGAGATGGCTCAGCGGTTAAGAGCACTGACTGTTCTTGCAGAGGTCCTGAGTTCAATTCCCAGCAACCACATGGTGGCTCACAACCACCTTGGATGAGATCTGGTGGTGGCTCACAACCACCTTGGATGAGATCTGGTGCTCTCTGCTGGCATGCAGGCAGAAGACTGTATACATAATGGATAAATAAAATCTTTTAAAAAATTATTAAAAAAAAAAAAGACTAGGAACCCAGAGTCAGGAAGCAGGGTCCTTGCACTGTGAGCTGAGGATAGGTCTAGGTTTGGCACCTATGTGATGCTGCAAAGCTTGGGAGTCACAATAGATGTGTTTCTTAAGTGCCTCCTGTGTAACTCAGCTCAGCTGAGCCCGCACACAGGGAACCATCTTGTTAGTCCTGTAAGAAGAGCTGTATTCACTACCTGCCACAGTGTCAATCTGTGACGCTTCCCAAAGGTCTCTGTGTGAAAGGGTTGGCTTCTCAGTGAAGCAGTGATGAGGCTTACGGGGAGTGATGAGGGTCTTAAGTTTCATGTATGTATGTGTGTGTTCAAAGTGCGCATGTGAAGGAAAAGAAGTCAGTTTTCCCTGTCATCCGCTGGGGCTCATCAGTCAGCCAGCCTAGTCTTCTCAGAGAGTTCCAGACTAATGAGAGATCCCATCTCAATAAACAAGGTGGGTGCCTGAGGAACAGCACCCAGGATTGACCTCTAGTCTCTCTCTCTCTTTCTCTCTCTCTCTCTCTCTCTCTCTCTCTCTCTCTTCCATAAGTAAGTAAACCTTCCCTTAAGCATTTGGCCAGCTGTCCTGTCACAGTGGTAAACTGCTGGCAGCACACAGAGCCTGCCCAGGTTTGCAGAGGTTCAGGGTTCCCACAGAGTCCAGTCCCTCAGTGCCATTTCTACTCTGCCCCTGTCACTAGCATTTGTCATTGCAGGACTTTGGGAATGTGTGCATAGACTTGTCCACAAACCTGTCACCCTGTAGGAAGTAAAACCCCTCCTCACTCTCTCAACAGGATCCTAGCACCTGAGTCCTTGCTTTGAGTCTCTATCTGGGTGGTGACACCCAAGACCTACACCAGGACAAGTGAGGTATGAATGCATTTACCATGGAGGTTTTCCGTATCTATTAGTCACAGGACCTCAGGATTGGGAGGGGCTGAAAGATTCTGTCTTCCTCCCTCAGGGTGTACAGAACCTTGAAGGGAGAATCGGTGATAAAGCTTCTTGGGAACGTGGCTCTGGGTTTGCCCAATCCTCATCCTATAGTGGTTTTGGCCTCTGTGGGGCCTTAAGGGGATGTCAGAGCCACAGACCCCTTTCAGGGGTTCCCATTCCCTTCATAACCTATACTAAGGGTCTATGTTCCCCCGTCCCTTGTCAGTGCTCCTTGGGAAGCTCTTCCCTCACTATCTTGATGTAAACATGCTAGCCTTGGCAACCTGGGAGCCAGAAACAACCTGTCAGAAAGATTTAGATCCAAGCTCTGTCTGTGTTTCTCTCCCCACCCTTGAAGCTAAGGGGTGACACTATGACCCACAGGGGGGTCATCATTTCTCCAGAGCCTGACAACTCTCCCAGGGGGAGTCAATCCCCCAGAACGACACGGCGGTGAGAAGCACTGCAAAGAGAAGTCTCCCCTGTGGCCTAACTCACTTCATATTGCTTTGGTGTACCGCATTTGCCAGCTCCGCAAGCATGTAATCCCCCTATTTCCTAGGCCCAGCCTTATAATTAGAAAGGCTTTCTCTTCCCTCACTCAGCCAACCTCAGGCTCCAGCCACGACTTCCGAGAGACGTGCCCACCACCTCCCAGGCTGGGGAACAGAGCCCAGAGCCGGCTTCCTGAAGATGGAATCCCAGAGTTGCCCCAAATGAGGAGTGAGCCAGGAACAACAAACAGGAATACAGGCATTGTTGGGAGGGGCAATTCCCCACCTCAGGAATCCTTGTGGGGGGCCAGGGGGCCCACTAAGATCCTATGGCTGAGAGATGGGATCTGCCTGGAGCCAGCCTCAGTGTGGCCCTCCTCCCCTAGAGCGGCTGATGCGGTCTCTGCTTTGGGGATTTGGGACAATTATGTACAGTGGTTTGTGGGTTTTCTTTGGTAATTGCCAGTTACCAGCCTGTGACTGCAAAAAGCCTCAGCCAGAGACAGGGGCAGCACCTGAATTGCTGCATTGGTGGGTCACAGGAGGGCCTGGCCTGGGCCCACATGCCCAGGTTGGGGAGCAATCAGGACAAAGTGGCTGAGGGAAACCTACCTGGGCACATCTTTCTAGGCTCCTGTCTCTTGGCCACCTTCAACTTTGGGGCAGCTGTATCTAGATTTTTTGTTGACCATGAGTCAAACAAGTGCTGGGGCCACACCAAAACTTCCACTCCAGAGATTTCAGGACAGCTGGAAACCACTGGAGACACCCAGATGTTTACCATGACAGTCAGACATGACCCAGCATGTACATACAGGCAAAGAGGCTCTCTGTCCAGGGCCACTGTCCAGAGCTAGTTTTGGAGGTGAGGTGCTGTGAGGTGCTGATGTGTATTCTTTTGTGTTTGGGCAAAATGTCCTGTAGATATCTGTTAGGTTCATTTGATTCATAACATTCCTGTTTAATTTTTGTGGGCCACCCTTCCCATGGCACACCTGGCTCCATGCAGATATCTGTTCTCAAGCTTTCCTACCTTCCCTACTTAGGGCATGGAAAGAGACAAGGCTTGGAGCAATCTCTATGAGATATACGCATGTCTAAGAAGTCCAAAAGAATGTGAGGGACCTGGAACCATTGGACACAGTTGTTCAAAAAGCCAGCATGTCCAGTCTATCTTAGCAGCAATGGAAATAGGGGTTGCCCATTGCTAAGGTTCGGTTGCCAAGGCCTACAAAGCCAGGCTCCCCAAGGGCTTGAGGGGGTCTCAGGAGCTCTTAAGGGAAGGTGCTCATATCTGCGCATTGCCACAAGGCACCGCACACTGGGGAGCGCTTGAGAGACCTAAGCTAGGCATGTTGAAGGGTCGGAGATCACTGAATGAGCACTACAGGATCAGTTCCTGCTTCAATGTGAATTTTTGTATCCTTGCATAGTCTCTGTACTTCATGCACAAGCATTTAAGATGTCCAAAACCCAGGACTCTAAAACCACGAACCATGCCCTGCTGTCAGCAGAAAGTTCATGGGTATCTGTGGGAATACTGCTGCCACTGAGAACACTCAAGACCCCTGCTTCTCCCTATCACAAGGCAGGTGACAGCCTCCAAGATGCTTGAGTAACAGTCACTCATCTCAAAAAAAAAAATGTGGGGCCCACGGCACTGCACTTCCCTGGAAAACAAAGACAGTTAAGACATCCCATCTGGGCCTGGAGGCACAGGTCTGTCATCCTAACTACTTAGGAGGATGAGGCAGGAGCATGGAAAGTTCAAGGCCAGCCTGCACAACTTAATAAACTCTGTCTCAAAGTAAAAAGTTTTTTTTTTTAATGACCTGTAGCAATAGCTCAGTGGTGGAGTATTTGGCTATCATGTGCAAGACCCTGGGTTCCATCCCCAACACCCCCGAAAAGATATCCAGTCCCTTGTCATTTCAACAGGTGACAACCTCCAAGGACCACCACCCTCAAACTGCTTCCAAGAGAAGGCCCCTCATTCCTGATTTGGGCTTACTATTCTTGGCCATGTTGCAGCCTAGAACTCTGAGAAATTTAGTCTAGTTATGAATTAGGTAAACCTTTCCCTTTATGATTTATGATATTGGCATCATGTTTAGAAAATTTCCCCCAGCACAATTTTATTAATTTATCATGTTTCATTTTCTTTGCAGTTAAGTTTCTATAGTCTGGGTTTAAAAAAAGAATTAAAAACCCTTCCATCCACCTGGAATCTTTTTTTTTTCCTTTGTGGCAGTGTGAGGCAGGGATCTAATCACCTCTCCATTCTCTGCTAGTCCTACAGTCCATCCAGTGTCCTCTGTCCACTGGTTACTAGTGAGCCCCTTCCCCCCCTCCCTTCCTGCATACATGGTCTCCTACCAGACTCCGTTCTCTTCCACCAACTCCAGTCAACCTACAGAAATGAATATAATCAGCCTGGTTATGCGTGACTCCAAAACAGCTGGTTAATTCGCTGAAAAGAATCCTGTACCAGATGTTGGGAGATCATGTAACCCAAGGGTTGTTTCTCTATTTTCAGTTTTAGCTGAGGATTTTGATGACTGTTTGTCCACTGACTCACCCAGCAAGTACGTATACAAAGCCTTCTGGGTGTCCGGCACCGGACTGGGTTATGGGGCCAGCAGTAAGTGGGTGAATGGCACTTACTCGTTGTACTTGGAAGTCAGGCGCAGACGGAAGCAAGTGCACATGCCAGGTCATTTCTGGAAGGGACACATGTCATGAAAGAAGTGACAGGGTGTGGGCTAACGTGGCTGCTCAGGGATAGCTTAATGGAAGAGACAGCATTTTTGCCTGGGTCGGAGACACTTCTTGGAGCATTCAAAGGTTCAAGGTGGAGCAATTCAAGACAGAGGAAATGAAAAAATCTGTGATAGAAACGCTGTTCCATGGGCATTGTCAACTGCATCAAGGAGAGTGGTAACAGAGTGGGGGTTTGGGAGGTGGCTGGGTCTCAAAGCAGATACGCTGAAGGCAATGTGAACCTGCCATACAACTCAGTGTGGTGGACATTTATCCGAGCCCACAGTAGGAACATGTAGGTCAGCCATGCTGCAGCCTCTGCCTCCCCATGAGACTCTCAGCAGCTGCCATCCCACTCTCTAGCCAGCTATCTCAGCCCTTGCTGGCCAGCCCCAGGTCCCCTACTGAGCTTTCATCCATGTGACTGTATGGTTTTCTGGGATGCCCTCCTACCCTGGCATATCCCTTCTGACCTGCCTGGAAAGCCAGACCTATGCCTCATAGAAGAAGCCTGGTGGTGAGCTGTGGGTGGGTCACTGTGAGACCATCAAGCTCCCCAGGACACTCTCAGTTTTAAGGCAAGATGTCTCGTGACTCAGTTTACCAAATCACACACAGGAATGATCACAGGTTGGATAGTCATTATGGACAGACACAGGACAGACACAACTGTGGTTCAGCTTCGGTGGTCAGGCAGAGAGATGGATTCAACTCAGCCTTCAGGGATGGCGGTGTGTCCATGGGTCCAGATCCCACCTAGCCAGGGAGAAGGACAGCCAGACTCCAGTCACTTGGCTGGGTCCAGGCTGGGTAGAGGTGTTTGGGCCCAGCAGCTGCCCTTCCAAGGACCCCCGGGGCCTGTTGGGAGGCTGGTAATTGGGCTCTGGCTGTGATTTGGGCACAGCCGTGGGGGCTGCAGGGGGAGCGCTGTGGGGGAGGTGGCTCGCTCAGCATTAAGCCTGGCTCCGCTCAGCCGGCTGTGGAATTCCTCCTCTGATCCGGCTCCAGATTGGCCCAGGAAGAAATTGGGGGAGAATTGATTGGTGCCATGTTATACAAGCACGTCCCTCATGACAGACGCCAGGCGACTGCGGTGTGGAGCCCTGGCCCAGCCCCATCCCTCCCCTGGGATCCTCTGGCTCCAAGGCTCAGAACCCCCCTTTCCTCCTCCACCCCATGTACCCCTGGCCTGCCTTCCAGGCGCCTAGGAGGAGAGCTGGGATACCCATTGAACCACACTCACTTGCCAGAGGCAGGACCCAGGGGTCTCCTGGGAGATACTCATTGTTTGGGGGTTGGGTTTATCCTATCTGCTGGCTGCTGACACACTCACTCACTGACCCTAAACATCCCCAAAATAGAGATGCTCACACAGAACAGTATCAGAGACCCAGAGGGTGCAGTCAGGAACCTTTATCTCAACCTGAACAACAGAGGTAGGCAGCACTGGGCTGGGGGAACTCCAGGCTTCACTCATTTCTTTTGCTCTTACCATGACTGAGGACAGGGATCTGAAAGAACAGGTAAACTTCCTGAGAGGTAGCAGGCGATGAGCTGCAGTGCTTGGGACATTGTGCCAGAGCATGTGCCACCAAACCTGCAGAGTGGGGTGTCCCCTGAACTGGATATGAAGAAGGGAGTTCTCATGGACACAGGAGCCAAAACCTTTCAGCAAATGAGCTAAGTCTTCCTGTCCTCTGGGATACTGCCCTGGGCTGAGACTCTTCATCACCCAGAATGGCCTTCCTGATACTCCAGCAGGCTGAAATTGCGAATAGAACCCCCTTCCAGAGCTACCAGGCCCAGAGTGACCTCCCTGGTTGGGCTCAGGCCCAAGGACAGGCGGAGTCAGGCAGAGGGTTGTGGGAAGGCCCATCCATGGTGCCAGGGAGGGAAAGCACACAGTGGCTTTGGCTTCCAAAGCCGCTGGGTTCACAGTGTCTCAAGCCCCATGGGCAGGAACACGGTGAAGAGACCCTGCCTCAATGGCATGAAAGGAGGCATATAGGAGGAGCTTCAGAAAGGATAGTCTGGGTCTCTGCAGCAGAGAGCCTGGTCCAGGACTAGATGTACACAGACCCCCAGGCATCAATGGGTTCTGAGCTCCAGTTTTCTTGGCTGATAAACCAGCCAGCTGGGCTCTGCTCAGCCTGCAAGGCCATTGTGTGGAGCCCCCCTGGGGCTGGAAGACGCTGCTGTGGACAGTGGCCACCTGCGGTGGGGCCTCTGAGGACCTAGGACTCTCCCTCGTATCCTGTTGTTTTGTGTTTTGGATAGCTCTGGGCTGCCAACTAGCATTAGCATCCATGCCCATCTCCAGTCCCAGGGAGTATCAAGTCAGGACAAGTTGCATTTGGACTCAAGTCTTGTTTTGCAGCCAAGGGTTTGTGATCATCCTGGGTTATCCCATGGCCAGTGGTCTAGACCCCTCATTTGAGGGACAATGAAGCTAGGCCCCAAGGCTACAAAATTGCCCAGTCTTTGGCCTGCTTGAGGGGTGCTCACCTCCTAGTGAGTAACAAGGGTGATTGATCCCAGCTCCTAAAGGCAGCTGTGAAACAGCCTAGCATCTGTTGTCAGAGGCCTAGCTACTGAGTAGTCCAGCCCCAGGAGTCTACCTTCAGTAGTCCCACCTGTACTTAGGGTGAGGAAAGTTGCCATTACACATATGTTCCTGCCCAGGGTGGGGCAACCCAGAGGAGCCAGCCTGGGCTCTCCACCTTTAGTAGAGTGGTAGGCTGACCCACAGGCTACCTGCTCCATGGAGAGTAGCCCTTCTATAAGCTCATCTCTATCAACTGCTGAAAGATGGGCTGTAGGGGCAGAGCTATTGGGGAGAGGGCACTTAGAGGGGACTGGGTGGCCAGTGAGGGCAGTCAGTAGACAGCCGGGAGACTTTTCAGTCAAGTTGGCACCTACTATTAAGAAGAAAGGGAGCAGCTTCATTCGCCCATGGGCTGGCTCCTGTCATCTCCCAGCCACAAGGACATTCTGTTCTGTCCCCTTGTTCCAGATAAGACTACAGAGGCAAGATAGCTGTAGGTAGCCCAGTGGTAAGGAGTGTTAACTCAGGCATCCTATCTCCTGCCTTAACCAGCATACGCTGACCTGCAATGGTTCACCACCTCCAGGAAACTGCCTAAACCCCTCCACCAGAATGGACCCCCCATTCCTCAGACCCACTTCTCCAGTGCCCACAACCTGGGTACAGCTAGGATGTGACCTTGGGCTGCTTCACAATGCTGTGCCAGCTCAGCACAGTAGAGCAGGAGATGGGGCAGAAAAACAGACATCTTCACTCTGCAGGCCTGGCTATGTGCTGTGCCCTGACCTGGCCCAGCTTACCCGTGCCCCCACCCTGCTGGGCCCATCGTGCCCTCCTCCGCTCTCGCGGCTGGCGGCAGGGCCTCCCCGTGTGGGACCGG